AAAAAAAAAAAACTTGCTATGGAGGAAATAGGTCTTTGAATTACTCACTTTACAGAGGTATCTCTTTCACACAAAGTTGAATTTCTCAATTTAATCTGACAGGGAGTTTTGCTGTTACAGTTATAAAAGTCACATGCGCGTCTGTAGTACGATCAACAGGAACAGTGCACATATTTTGGACCAATCAGTCTTAGCCAAAGTGAACATTCTGTATGCATACCTCGACCTATTCTAGTTTCACGATGAAATGCTAGATAATAGCAGTAAAACACCCCAAGGCTTTTCGCGTTAAAATGTGATTCGATGACATAAGAGAAAATGTACGGTTGGGGTACTCCTAGCTCTGGGGTTAAATCTAGAAATGGAAGTAATCGAGCAAGTATATTTAACCAGCTTACATTCAACATTGCTCTATTATAACATTCGTAATAAGAACCTTTGATATCTTAATTGGTTTAATACAATTCATTTTTCCCACGGCACGGATGTCTTAAACCCAATCATGCAGCATCTGCTTGAAACAAACTTGTCATTTTTTCAACTTGGAATGCAAAAGCATAAAATTAGGTATCAAAACTATGGACTCGGTGCTCAAGCTTCTTTCCAAGTGACAATGTCAAATGTCCCTGCTACTTTTGAACATGTTTGAGACATGAGGGCTTGGTTAAGGCCACTGAGCAACGAATGGTCCACTTGAAATTGTCAGTTTCAGAGTACATAATGAATAAACATTTTAACTTCAGGTTAAAATGCATGCCTCAAAAGCTATTCCATGTATTTACACGAGTTTACACGCCTGTCTGAATAGTGTATCAGAGAAATATGGAAGGGCTGCGTAGCACCGTGATCAGAATATCGATATGAATATAATATCAAACCAGTGCTCTGAAATACGTGAATGCCGCGCTTTCGGTAACTGAGTACCTTCTTCAGGGCAAGCAGATTACTGATTTGATATTATATTCTTGTCGAAGTCTTAATGGTGTCGCTGGTTTGCATTAACTACCATGAACTGCATGGCTGCATTTAGGTGCCCCCCTCCCCTTTAAAATGGACCAGAATTGTTTTGGTTTGAAAAATGAGAATACTGGCAATTAATGGGACTGTTTCACTCCCCCCCCCCCAATGTTGCCCCAGCAAAGGCCAAAAAAAGGCTACGAAGAAATTTCCAAATTTTATTCCCTCGGCCCCGAAAACTTGGTTCTTGTTTCGCCATTGCCTGGCCGCCAACGTGGAAAATAAGACGCAGTTTCCAGATAAAATGCATCGATGTGTAGAGTTTAAACAATAATTATAAATCAGATCATCAAATTACCCAATACAGCCGGCTCAGCACCCACATGGGTAGGTGGTGGTTTCACCAAGCCTTACATAACAGAATAAACTATTGCGATGTTACATAGAGAGTTCAGTACATATAATGATTAATACCAATCGCTACCACGGCTGGACTACATCTACCAACAAATGTCACATTTCAATGTAATAGCATAGAGTTATAGGCAAGTGTCCACAAAGTAATTGCTGTCAACTTAAATTCGTACACTACTTTGAAACAGCTATGCAGATATAAGTCAGTTACATTCGCTACATACTCAATCGAGCTGGTAAACTATTGCAAAAGTTGCTTTGAAATGCTGTGACAATTTGCATACAAATATAAAAATTCCGAGGACTGTTACAGTGTATGCATGTCTGTGTAATTTAAAATCGATAATAAAACGAAGGACTCATTGGTTAAAAATGTGCAATTCTACCAAAGACTGAAACCATTCCACTGCTCTGCCCCCTCCAAGAGCATATGGTAATATATCTACATGTAATACCGGGACAACTATAAACAGGCTAGGCGTTAAATTTAAGTCTATTAATTTAAAAGTCTTGGATGACCACAGTCGATTGTGTGGAATATCTTCTTGTTTTCACTTTCGCATAAAAGAAAAATACATTACATAAAAAGTGACAAAAAGTGGGAAAACCAGGTTCAGTTGATCATGACCCGTGTTGAAATCTTGGTTAGAATCCAGGGCACTTTTTTTTNTTTTCATAAACGAATGACAAAAATTAGCCTGTAGTCTTTTACACAGTGAACAATCAGTCACAAAAGACACTAATGTTCCTGTCCAGAATTTATTTTCAGATGCCAAATACTTTAACCACTAACCTTGCACTGTTTTCACTGCAACAATTTGATCTCCTGCCTCACTGTGCAGAACAGCTTGCAGTACGCGTCCAAAGGCACCTGCCAATCATGCCAAGCGGAATAAAAGTTAACTATGATGCTTAATTTTGAGCTCGGTTCCACGAAGAGGTAATGCCTTTCCTTTAATCAAATTCAATTTTAATGCATTTCTTGGAGATACCGCTTTGGTCGACTATTTTGGATTTCCATTGCGCTATTTTTGGGGGATATTTTCTTCTTTTGAATTGCCACATTTATGGGTAAAACTGTGCTTTCATCCAAAAAAACAAACAAACCAAAACAAAACAACAACACGGTGTGAAAACTAAGTCGGTACTAAAAATTGACAGAAATGTTGCAATTTTGATGTTGTGCATTTTATTCCCTTTTGTTGCTGCTTCAGTTCAAGACTGCAGGCCAGTGAATAATTTTATTTACTCCAATCCAGCTAATTTTCAATCAGCGTTTGTTTTTTCAGTGCCCGTAGCATTAACAACGTCCTCGTTTATTAACCTCAAAGCAAAACCCTTATTCGCCAAGATGCGCATAACAGTTTCAAAAGTTTAAGAAGTCCGATTTTCGATGGCGTAACCACTAAGAGATCTCGAGAAACGTTTGTGCACTTATAAGGGGAAATGAGAGTTGCCCGCACAGTTCCTATGTTAAAGTCACATCACGAAACCGTTCATCTGATGTAGGCCTGCATTTACAGGGAGGGGCAACTCTTTCTTTACCTCATGCAGAGAAGGGACTAGAGCAGCGGCGTAATCAGCTTTTGGTGTCAGGGGTGGGGCAAATTCAAAAGCGAATGCGGCTTCGAGCTCATTCAACATCAACTCATGGTCCCGACATCCTTGATTTTATCTAGTTTTACTTTTCGGGGTTTTTGTGTCATTATTTGATAGCTAAATATACCAATTACTTTCTTTAAAACTTATGAAATGAGATATTCTAGCTTATAAAAAAATTCCAATACCTTTCAAGTGTTGCCCATTAGGGTCCCTACCTTGTCCAAGTGTCTTTCCCAATTCCAGTCGGTTTAACTCAATGTGAAGTTCTTCGGGAACATAGCTGACTTTGTTGCTCAGAACAATGCGCATTTGTTTGGGCCCTTCGTCCATCTGTTTCTGGACTCTCTGCCACCAGCGCCTCTTGACGTGAGATGACATCTCTGACAAAATCATACCATTGCGTTTACCATCAGTTGAACCTTCTGGTAATTCTGGACGAGGCAATGTTGCATGTCTGTCATACGATGGGGGTGTTTGAACGACACTATCGTGTGCCACCTTGAAAATGGAGGAGTATTCTACCTTGTGTGGATAAAGAACCTTAACATGTCTTCAAAGCCTCACTGAAAGAAAACCCCTCCCGGATTCCCATTTAACAGTTGGGATGGTGTTATGATATAACATTAGAAAGTTTCTCTCTTCACATGGAAGAAAATGTTTAACAACATCAGTGAAAGTGCCGTGGGGAGAACACACAACGTGCAGGCTTGTATGAAAAAAATCCAGTCTTTCATGAAGTTTCGGTTCACTTACCGAGATGGACCTCCATGATTCGGTTCAGGAGTCGTTGGTCATGGGTGCGTTTTCGGTGTAACTGCCTCACATAACCGAGAACAGCAACAAGAAGTGTAGCAATGGAGAAAGACAGAACCACACCGGCCACAATGGCAGGAACATGAACGGTACGGGGATAGATCAGTCTTCCCAAAACGAATTCCAAGTTACTGTGAAGTATCTGTCAAATAACATGAAATTAAATTTCATTTCTGACACCCGAATTCTCTTTCCAAAAAGGAATCTCTGAAGTTCTTTTCTATTCTAAATGATGTTGCTATGGGAAGTATTGATCACTGTAAATTCCCTTTCTCAGAAGGTAATTTCATTATTGTTTTGTACAACAAATCTCCAACAAACATAGACCATATACTCGCCTTTCTCTTTTCATGGAAGGTTGGGTTTTTCTTACGGTAGAAACATTTTGGACAATAGTTTCAAAGAGGAAATCTACATTCACCTAGCTTCAACCGTGAATACTCCTGTTGGAAATATAGGCCTACCTCTAAATTCACATACCCAGGCCACAGACAGGCTTCCTGGGTCTACCAACGCACTTACCCAGACCACAGGTAGGCCTTCCTCCGCGTTTTCACCTCTGAAGTCCCCAGCAGCCGGTTCATTCTTTGGTAAAGTGCACTGTAAGACGGTATCACTGACCAGGTTGACTTCACAGAAGTCTTTTCCAATCCTAACTTGGATTTCTCGGGCTGTGATTGCACTATCCAACCGTTCACCCTGAAATAACAATTTTATTTGCAATCAAGTATCCATAGTGTTGCAACCAAAAGGCGTTTCTAAAAAAGAAAGACTGATTTCGCTGACCATAAAATATTAGTCCCCGAAATTTCTTTGAAATTAAGTTGAATGCTATCGTAAGTACCACACTGGTAACACTTTTAATGTTCCTGAAAAAAGAGTGTAACCAATAGCTTAATGCATCTCTGCATATGTGTAGCCAAAATGAGGTCATATTACTTGAGATTTGTTTGAGAAACAATTGTCGGTATACAACATTTCATATTCACCATGAAGCTGATTCTCACCGGCTTAGTTAAAAACAACTACAGTACCAGGAAAGCACCAACAAGAAGGAACACAGCTAGTCAACATGGTGCAGCAATAAAGTGAGGTTTGGTTCAATTACACCGGATGATTGTAAAGGGCGTACGTGACATTTAAGAGTGACGAATCAGGTATGTTATTGTGAACTCAGATTACATTTGATCGAAACAAAGGCTACGCAAACTATTGAGTCGAAAAACCGAAGGCAAACTAAGCCAGCAACTCGCACCATGATTGTCAGTGTTGATCCACCTTTCTCCATCTCTTCATTCTCAAACGGGACATACACTGGATCTTCAAAGTACTCCAACTCAACCTCATTGTTCTCAGACCATGCCAATAGTTCGATGACCCCGTCCATGATGAAGCCAAAGGTCAGGTTCTCGTTGCTTGCCATCATCATTCGGAGTGATGTTATGTTTGGAGACTTGCACTGCATCTCTGTGGGGGAATCCCCTGTGCATACCTTGGTAAAAACATTGTTAAAAATTATCCCTAATAAACATTATCTGAACATCCAAGCATAACTGTGAGTGCCCAAAGTGAAATAAAAGACATGATTCACTGGCATTTACAATTTATTGAAAGGATGATTGAAAAAGAATTTGGCAAAAAATCAAGCAATGTTACGTACCTCTTGATATATCAGACTACTGTCCCCAACGTAAATCTGACGATTTCGGCAGGTATCCAAGTGTTGGCCCACCACTTTCAACGTCCGACCACCCCTAATATGCATGAAAAAAAAACCAAACGCTTGTATAAAGGGTAATGACGAAGCTTGTCTTATTGCAGAAACATTCAACTCAGTATTATGGTTTGCTGTATTTTAAGCCTTAAATTGAAACGATGATTATTAGTCATGAAAACTAAATGCAGAGCAACAGACTTACGAATAAATGCTCTTGAGTGGCTGAACCCGAGTGATGACAGGGTTTTCTGTGTAACTAAACTTCTCATCTGATGTTCTGTTCGCACCATCGAAGGAAACTCTCAAGATACTTGCCATTCCAGCCTGTCCGGTGGATGTAGTACACCCTAAAGCTTCTTCTGTTGGGCCACTATTTGCAAAAGATTATTGTTATTATTATTTTTTTCTGGTAATGACACCAAAGATTCCTCAAAAGCGCCCTAGGCACTGTAGCTTGCAAGCCTGAAGAAACTTGTGGAGAGGAGACAATGAGAAGCTGTTACAATTTTGGAGGAGGGAGGAGAACCCTAGAGGAATATTTTGGGTAAAACCCACAGAATCAGGTGGGGACTGAAAACCCAATCCACATGTGGACTGAGCCGGGAATCGAACCCGGACCGCAGAGGTGGAAGGTGAGGAAGAAACCATTACGCCAACCTGACTCCCCACTGTTAGTTTGAAAACTTGCGTTCGTAAGGACACATGGGTGCATTAGCACAAAAAAATGACATTGACCTTATTTCCCAGCAAAAGTCTCATAGATGTACGTAAAGATTTGGAAGGAGTGGGGGAATACCTTAAAGACTTCATGTTATTTTAAAAGTTGTCAGCTAGGCTAAGTATTTTTGTCTTCTACAACTAGATACTCTGAAGAACTAATTGGGCTAATTATAAAGAATGAATTATCTGTGACGTTAACTCCATGAACAATTATATCCCATGAAGAACAGGGGTACATTAATTCTAAACATACACGAGTTTTGTCGACAATATGTAAAAGACTGATATTTACGATGACATGATGCATGGCTTTTCCCCTATGAACGCCGCAATATATCGTCCTGTGTTGAGGTCTGTGCCATACACGCTTACTGCAGTCCCACCAGCTTCTGGGCCAAGGCGAGGTTCAAATAATGTAATCCTTGGATTCTAGTAGGAAAATGGATGGCACCAATATTGATAAATCGAAGTACCCACCAAAAACATTTTTTCAGACGTAGGCAATTCAGTATAATGCTTACTTCAGAATTTCACGGAAGACGAAAATGTGTTTTACAGCAGCATTCAATCCCTTTTTTCTAGGCTTTGTCAGGGTAAAATAGTACTCACTGTGAACTTAAAGTTGACAACTCCAGAGCTGTGCTGCAGTGTACCATCTGCCCCCGTGATTGTCAAAGTGACCAACTGACTTCCTTCACGTTCTGGTATTGTTTTGCATATGACACTGAAACAAAGCGTGATGTGACATTTGTTCATTGGGTCAAATATTAAGTCCAAGCAATTTTAAGGGCGTCAGTTTTAAGAATAATAAACTGCATGGAAGGAAGTATTTAATTCCTGCTTTAAACAAGAATCTTTCTCCTATACCTTGCCCCATTTACATAGTTGGAGCTTAATCCGTCTAGATCACAGGGTTGATTGCCAACCATCACAGCCACGACGTCACCAAATCTTCGACCGATGTCAGTTCCCATTACGGTAAGGATTGTATTGCCTTCAATCGGTCCAGTCAAAGGAAACACCTTCGTCATTGTTTAGGGATGAAAAGCAAGGAAATTGACGTTAGGGAAAATGCAAGACAGGCAAGACAACTTCTCGAAGAAAATAAAGCACCTCTTTTGATGAAATGATCATGTTTGGTGTAACTGTAATTCAATTACCGATTTGGAAGGAGTTGGAACAATTTTTTATCGACATGTATGGACCATTGATTATTGTGAGCAGGATCTTTAGGATAAAATAACAGTAAAATGCGAAGAGCAGTATACTACATGTACAGGTCTTTCATCATACAAATGTGTTGTGATATCAGCCCACCTCGCTGACAACTGGATCAGGGCAGTTCACTCCATTAAACAAAGTCACAACGTTTCCAGAGCAAGTTTCATTCAGTTTGCAAACACCCGACACGGTTGGCATGGCACCACACCACAGACACCCGAGCTCTGGACGAGCTGTAACACATCGGCTGCAGTCTGATTTCTGGACTTCACATTTGTAGATAGTTACTATCACAAATGGAAGAACAAAGGTAAATAATAAGTTTAAATATCTCATCAAAATCGTTAACAATACGGGACAAGAGCCTAAAAATACATCTTTGAATCTAAATAGATAATCAAAGGACATTACCCACTGAAACGCATTCAGGGGATTTCAGTCACAAGCTTTACTCGAGTTTTTACTCACCACTGAACCCATGTATGTCATCAAGGATATGTGCTGCACCAGTCGCGTCAGTCCAAGTAACAGTCAGCCTCACTTCGAGCTCTGGCTCAGTATTCGACAAATACGTGTACTGTTGAAAAAAGATTGCTTTCATTTATTAAAAGTGAGTGGAACAACTAATCTCAAATCAATTAGAACTGATTTTCAGCTGTGCCAGACGGTAAAATTATTTCGAGAAAGTTGCAGATTTGAATGATTACTTACAGCTTTCTGCTCACATTTGATATCCCTTCCATAACGCCCCGCCATAACAGTCTGAGGTACACCTTCGATATCCAAACTACAACCATAGCTAGAAATCTGCTCATAAATGAAACGAAAGACTTTTACAATCGGAAAGCAACACGGCTTTAGAGGGGAATCTGCTTTCTCCACACATCGCTTTCAACTGTTGTATTACATGCACAGATTCATCATCTTAGGCAGTTAATATAACACGTGATAACCATCCCTCAGAAGGCAAGCATTTTTCCCCATACGTTTCATAAACCCCTGTGTTTGTGTTTTTGTGGATTATTTTATGATAGTATCATGTTTCTTTACCTGAGCTACATCTGGTACATTTTCAGTCCTGACTGTAATAATCCTGTGGATTCCATTAGGCAGAAGAACTTCACCACTTTGAGCTTGCAGCTGTGGACAAGATCCAGGTCCCTTTGAAAAAGTTGAGAGTTGAAGTAAAGCATCTTAACATGAAAAACGATAGGAACGATAGGAAAATGAACAAAGCTGAATACGATAATTTCTGAGTTAATTAAACTACAATTAAATGAAACGAGACACTAACACCACAAGAAAGGTGCCTATTTAAAGAACACAGGCATACATGACGTCAGGATGTTTAACAAAATTTCATGTTTATAATTATTATTGGACTTATCATGCGATATTTATTTTTAAAAATGCCCTCAAACCTGAAATATCTATGACCTTTCTGCCTTCATTTTCGACCGTGTCGCGATATATAAACATATACTAATGAATTATGATTTTGATGTTCTTACATTTTCACCAGTAATGATGATTTCATTAGCTTTAGTACAAGTGGAGCTTTCATGAGTACATCTGTTGTCAAACACACACCAGTCACAGGCCCATCGACTACCAACACAGGATACACAACTAAGGAAAATGAAATTATGACATTTTTAAAAGATCATTGCACAAAATCAAAGGACAACACTAACCAGAACAAATGTTATGCATATATTTAGCTACGGATGAAGAGTATGCATGGGAAAAAGGAAACATTAATGAAAGACCACCAACAAACTCGCAAAGTGTCAAAGCGCAGGATGATCTTCCACAAGATGTGTGCACTTACAGGGAAAGAAGCAAGGGGGGGGTTGATGTGGCATCTCACAGCACAGCCTATTTTGAAAAGCCATTGCCCACGACATTATTCGGTAAGCATATGTTACTTATCTCTATAGGCAGGTTGGTCGTAAGACTTTCCGCGTACACTTACCAGTTAAATGCTCATTCTTATATGCAGTAGATGGGGATATGTCTTTTTATGTGCATGCAAGTTATTTTGAAGTTTTGTAGAATGGGTTCAGACAACTACCTTGAAAAGAATCTTAATGAAACTAAAACCGAAATAAAGTCAAATTACGTTACCCTAGCTCCAGTTCGCTTCAGAACCATACATACTCACAAAACAGATGGTGCTACTGCAAACCTTTTATGTAATCTGCAAGCACTCAAAGCTCATCTAAAGTTAAATACTTACGACGTATGGACTGAGCAGTTGTAAAAGTGAAAGCTGGTATCGATGAAGTGGACCATTGTTTCAGTCGAATACACGCTAAAATTAACAATGACAGCATCATCTGCATAAAAAGAGTTTTAAAAAGAATATGAAATTCGCAGAATTAGCTACAGAGTCTTTCGTGAATAGTATCTTCCAAACTCCTTGAAACTGAAGACACTTTGATTATTGATTCCAATAAACAAAAATCTGTTGGTTCGTCCTTTTAACAGAATGATGAACGGCTTACCTCTTGGCTGAATGGCAGGTATCCCATCACTAGGTGAAGATCTACACGTAAGCACGCCGCCAGTCTTTGTAGCAGGAGATCGGTATGACCCAAAGTAACATTCATAACTCTGACCAGTCGCTAGGTCAGGTAACTGTTGTACATTCAGGTCGATCTAGAAGAAAACCCAAACGAAATTATGTCTTAGAGTTTCTGGTTTGGTCTCAACCAGGGGATAAAGACTTCTGAATTTGAATGTCTAAAAAGTGAATAAATAAGCATGCAGTTTGCCACATTTCTGAAATCCAGAATTTAAAGTATATTGAATTGTCCTTATACATAAAATCTTAATTTTTTGAGTTCACTATTATAACGTTAAGCCAAAATCATGTGTTTCAAGAAATCATACCTGTTGGGAGAGCAAAATCATGTGTTAGAATGAAACACGTACGAATAATAAATGGTTTCTTTTTGAAAATCATGTCCATGAGACGAAGAGGAACCCCAATGTTTCATATGAAGCAGGGTATGAGACGGAAAGAACCCCCTTGCTTTGTGTTGGTCATTGTCTCACTGGAATCTGGGGAATTCTTTTCAGACATCTATGGGGATGTGTTAGGTAAGAATTGTCTAGAGTGCGTATAACAATTGGACAAATTAGGGGGTACTCCTTGGTTCCATTTCTTGCTGAATTTACAATGTTTAGTTTATTTGTTTTTAGAATTCTCACTCGTTGCTCTGTGACAGTAATTGGCAGGCTGTCGTAAGGAGCTACATTGGTGATATTAATGCATTGAGCAGCGTTGTAGGCCAACCAGCGAGTAGATACATCCGGGGAGTCACAGTCGGAATATCTTGAACATCTACAAATATAAAAAGATAAGATTAGTCTTTAGATGAGTTGACAGTAACTAAATAAAGGAACCATCGGTTCATACACCTGTAGTGCAAATATTTTGTAGTGGTTAACGACATCATAATTATACAAGACACGTGTTATGGTTATGACATCAACCTCAAAGTGATCAAAGTAGATGTGCTCATTTTTTCATCTTCAGGTATCTAGGGCCAATCTTTACAACTCCTTGTATCATTTCAAATACACCTTTTTTATCATGCTTAACATTCCCACGAGCTGACTAATCAACGAACATTTAAACGAATCATCCGTTGTGACTTACTTTCTTTCCAAAGTGCACCACCCACAGTATGGATCTCCATCATTCCCTGCATCAGTCCCAATACATGCCTCACAGGTGGTGTACTGACCACAGTTCTCGGCACGCATCTTGATCAACTGTGTGGAGAAATAAAACCTTTTAACGGCTTTTCAGCAGCGCTACAATGAGCACAATAGCGTACTCTGCCCATTACTTAAAAGGGGAGAGGAAAGCTTTATAGTTGTGCCCCTTTTTTATGACTTCATATAGCTTTTTGTAATTTTGACCTTGTCCCAAGCCTTTTTTTTGCAGGCCCCTTATATTATATGACATCATTGTAATTACATTTTTAATATGATTTTCTTTAACTGAGGAAAATATTTTTGAAGATTTCAAATATGTGTGGTCAGCCATGATGCACATTTAATTACACGTTGGACTCTCAGGTTTGAAAACCTGCAAAAATCCCAAAGAATACCTTTTGTTCAGTGAGTACATAAATCTCTCTGGTTGTGTCGTTTATCTTGACATCTGTCAGTACTGGGCTGGTACCTAGAGGCACTCTCTCATACAATCTGGCTGTTGTATTACTTTCAATGTGGACCTTTTCATCAACAAACGAAATTCCTAAGATGTTTAAAGCATTGTTAAAAGATAACAGATGTTTGATTGATATGATTGTTTATGACATTATATCCAATTCCTAGACAATCAGCAAATGGCAAGGCTTGAGAATGAAACAGTACAGTCTTTCATATCATTTGTGTTTGAAATACAGGTGAAACAAACGTGTTTAGATATAGTCAAAGGAAGACACAGCTACACTCAGCATAGAGTAGGGTCAAATCTGCCAGTTACAGCTATGCCCGTGAGTATTAAAACAATCTTTGCAATTAGTTTCATCATCTTGAAGTTAAACCCACGTATCTGACCAAAAAATGTAAAGAAGGTTCTTGTCCTGGAATTCAAACGATCGCTTTGTTTGTGTATTTTTTTGTCCTCGTATTTTACGGTTTCTGAATTTGTTTCGTAATAGAGAGACATCATGTTATTTCACAAGTCCAAACTGATCAACTGACGTTCCAAACACTACTTACTTTCAAAAGACCTCCACTTGATGTTCCAATGAATGCCACAGTGTGGTTGAATTCAATGCTGGTGATGATGGATGACATCAAGGAACCTGAAAAAATCATTGTTCTTTCAGTCATTTACACGCAACTCTTATTTTTTGTAGAATTGTACCTTATCACAAAATACTTAGGAAACATGATATCTACTTAATAAACAGTTTCGATGAGGACATAAATCAAAGAAATAAAGTAACTAAATACTAATATTGCATATATATAAAACATGCTACTTCTCATGAGACTAGAAACATACCTAAAGGCCTAAGAATTAAATAAGGAGCACATACTGAAAACATGAGTGATAATTGTATCTGGAAAAAGGATACACTCCGAAATTAAAGGACTGGTTATCAACCTGGCTGTTCCAGCAACGCTGTAGATGAGACTGGAGTAATCCCTTTGGCATACTGGTACAGCTGAGTCATGCCATCAGCGACAGGATTACACAGATAATTGTCTGGCTGAACTCCCTGTAATGGCCGCATAATCAGAACAAAAAAAATTTACTCCTTTTCTTATAAAGCTTTTCTGTTGTTTAACCCCCAGGGAGAGATAGTGCCTTTGTATTGTACGCGCAGGCAGTAGCTTGGCACACTCTTTGCCATATAGTTTATTTGTTATATAAGCACTATACATTGTATTTTCACATTTCAAAATTTTATGGTGATACAATATGTCCAGGTACCCATGCAGGCATCTGTGCATGGTTTTTTTTGGGATTGATTTGGGGGGGGGGTGGCTGCGTGACCAAATTGGGAGAGAGCAAGGGGGGTTAAGTAGGATTGGACTGACGGCAGAGATCAAAACGGTGTCTCCAGGGCCCTAGATATCCCTTTACACCGAGTAAAGAGCACGTATGTTTCATTCCCATTCGCACAGCGGTTACCCTCGTGACACTTGTGAACCATACGGAATCGTCCTTCGCAACTTGCCAATCCCCGGTTGAGACGTCTCGTTTTTAAGACTTCGTTTGAATAAAGTTAACAAACGATCACATTGAAACTCTTGTATGTGCTCTAGAGGGCTTAAACCGAATAAAATACCACAGAATGATGAAAAGAAATGCTACATAAATATGAAATTTAGCCTCAAGGTGGTTGCTAAAATGATAAACTGTTTCCATGTTAATCGATCTCTTGGTCTTTTCCCACTAACGTCAAACTTGTTGGTGAAATTCCTGCAACGGGGGGCAGTTCGCTTCTTTAGAGTTTATTTCATCATTTTTCTGCTTGTGTTTTTCGGGCAAACCTTTCTGGCCAGTTCTTGATCAACCTGCCTTAAAAAAGACTGGCAGTTGCGCTGCATTTCTTGCAGTTTTGGGATAACCCAAGAAGATATGGGACGTATCTTTTGTGATAAGTTCTCTTTGAAAATACTAATTTATTCTACAGTTGAAAGCAAACGAAATTTGTTATAACAAATGACATGGTATTTCCATCAATAAAATACTGAGGTGAGTGCCGCCGACTGTGCCATCCCTAGATCAGTTACCCTACTGTTGAATCATCATTAATAAATCTTCACTTTACACCTCACAGCTTTTATACTGAGATCACTAATAAGAACGGTTGGAATCGGTTTCATTGTCGATAATTTAGAAAATGAAGATTGCCAATGAAAATTAATCAGCATCAATCCTTAGGCTCACTGTATTCAAACCTAGAAAATTGCATTGCGGGTTCTGTGCCAAGGGACATGAAAAAATGTGGTTTGGGAAAAATCCAAAAGTTATGCGGTGTTTACCAAGCATTCAGGTGCACGGACTCCTGAAATTTGCAAGGAATCGCAGTTACCGGCTTCCATATAGGACTCTTCTGGGATCTCGGGGTTCCCAGCCCACCACACTTCCTCCCTGCCCATCCATTTAACCCCAAAAGGGTTCGAACGACCATGCAAGGGAGGAAACGAGACAAGCCCCTAAGCCCTGGTCGCCAAGTCGGCCACACGTCTCGAACCTGTACTAAGGCGCTCACCTGGACTTCGCGGACAGTGCCAGCCGCAGAGCTTACCCGCTAGGCTAAGGTACTGCTGGTATTTGACGGGGTGAATTGCAGTCTCTTATAGCTACTGACTGACTGCAATTGTTGAGAAAATAAAAAGCCACCGCTGGGACTTGAGCCCACCGTCTTACAAACTGACAACCGCGAGCTTAACCACTCAGCCATCTCAAAGATATTGTTTTTTGCTGTTCATAGTGAGGAGATAACAAAGTCATTAGTCTTGCTGTACTGAAAGTTGCTGCGGAAAGACTAACTAAAATGCTACAATAGTGCAGCACGTAGCAAAAATACACAATCACGCAAACAATGGTCGTCAACATTAATGTTTGCGTCAATATGGATAAGTCCCAAGACCATGTCTGTACACCTGTCTACATGTCTTAACTCTTTCCTGGTATTATGTGAATGACACGCCATTTTTGTTGGGGGGGGGGCTTTTCTTCTCCGGCTAGCATAACATGAAAGCCGAATTAGGAATCCAATAGTTCTGCTAAATAACATGTTGTGT